GTCCTTCTTCCTAGTCTTTCTTAGTCTGGAAGTTCCACTGATACTGTCCACCATGGGTGACCCTGTTGCTATTTGATATGCCAGTGGCATATCTTCCAGGATCACAAAACACACACTCCATTACAATGTGACGAATTGACAGATGACTGGAGTGGGGAAGTTCTGCCCTGTAGGGTCACTGTGAGTTAAAACTGACTTAGAAACAACAGGTTTTTATCATCTTTGTGCTACAGAAACCAGAAAAATATTGATCTGACTGCAGTTTCAAAAACCTTGATTGGCTTCTTCCTCAAGTCCATTGTTTTCATTGTTATTAGCTGCCCTCATTTTGTCCCCGACTCATGACAAGGAAACAACATTCTGGCAGCTCTTGTGCCATCCCCTGTGTCAGTTGAGAACTGGACCATTGTGAGCCATAGTATTTTCATTGGCTAAGTTTTGGTTGTAGGTGACTAGCTCCTTCTCCCTCGTTTCTCTTAGTCTAGAAGTTCTTCTGAAACCCAGTTAGTATCCCATCAAAACACAAGCCTCCTTTGGCAGACAGGTGGTGGCTGTGCTTGCAGTGTATTGGCCAGGACTCGAACTCAGGTCTCTTGCATAGGAGGTGAGGATACTACCAGTGACCCTCCCACACCTCATTCAACTAGAAGATGACGGAAGGATACTGAAATTCTTGTAGTTACCTGATGTTGAAGAATCAGTCCAATTATAGAATGTTTGAAAACTTTGTTTTTAAAATAGCCACCAGTGGAACCCTTCAGAGGAAGAGCTGTTAACAAACTCCACCAAGATTAAGGAATTTCTATACCCTTTCCTTTAGGCTGAAATGGAGTGTTTCCAATCAGGGCTGTTGCAAGGCAGCTGATAGTCAAATTCCAACGTGACCCATGGTTATTAGCTTTGGGTGTTGAGTGAAGGGTCATGCCTAAAATCAGCTGTAGCCTCATTTGGTTCTTACATTTGTTCTCTACTCACTGTAGACAGATGGCCTTCCTCCTCCTTCATCATTGTCATGGTGCCCTGGTGCTCCCATCCCATCTACCCCTGACATCTCTGTTCCTGTGGGTCTGACCCCACTGTTGTTGTTGGTTGTTGTCAAGTTAGCTCCAACCCATGGCGACCTTATATGCAACAGAACAGAACCATTCTGGACATTTGTCATTTCCGTGACTATTGGTCTTGCGGTCCATTGTTGTAACTGTTGTGTCCGTCTGTCTGTCACACTGAGGCTTTCCCTCATCATCAGTCCTCTCCTTTAGTAAGCATAATGTCCTTTCTGTCAGTCTCAGAAGAAATGCCTCCAGAATATTCCTTAGAAATGAAGATGGCAGACTTTGACTCACTCACTTTAGACACATCATCAAGAAACATTCATCACTACAAAATGTTCTTATTGGACCTCAGCTGGAATACTGACTTTCCACTCATATTTTTGGCTTGTTTGCTTTATTATTTCTTCTGTGTGCCCTTTCAATCTCTGAATTCTATAAAACTCCATTTCCTGGATTGCTGCTGCTTCCAAGATGCCCATGGTCCCCTGGCATAGACAGTTGCTTTAACATAAACCCGTCTTCCAATGTGGGGAGCATGTCTGACTTTGCCTGGCTTCACAGGGAAAGAGACTCCAACTCAAATTCAGCCCAAGGCTGATTCCTATGAAGCGGAGGTCAGACAGGCTTCCACAACCTTCCTTATCCTAGTCGGACACCAACCATCCCTCCTACAGCCCTCTCTGCTTCACATCTGGGTTCAATAATCCATTGCAGTTGCCACACAGAACTCAGAACAATAGTCATGATTATGGGGTTTATTAGGGAAGTGAACAGGGTAAAATTCAGTATCAAAACCACCTCAGGATGCAGCAGTTCTCCAGCCAGGAACACCTCTTGTCTGCCATACTGCAGGCATGTCTCACTCTTGTCTTTAGCCTCTCAGCCATGTGGCCCCACAACCTCTGACCTGCTTCTTTAAATGTTATAAAGCTCTTTTAGCCCATCTGTGAATGCCAAAGGGCACATTCTGCAAGCCAATCTACTGCCCATAGGCATTCAGCTTTACCCAGTCCATGGGCCTGGAGCTCAAAGCTGCTCTATCTCTCCAGGTCACCACCTCTGCTGTGAGCTTTTCAAGGTGGGAATCTCAAGTTCAGCTCATCTCATGCCCTTCTTTCTTGATGGTCCTAGGATCTTCCCTTCCTGCTTCTGAGACGCCTCCTGTTAGACCTAATTGGAGGGCAGACAAACCAATCCCAGCCTTAGAGTCCTATCTACTTTATTTGCATGGTCCCACCCAATCACTTAATCACTCATGGAACCAGCAGTCAAGAAATCAGACGTCATGTTGCATTAGGCAAATCTGCTGCACAAGACCTTTTTAAAGTGTTGAACAGCAAAGATGTCAGCTTGAGGACTAAGGTGCGCCTGACCCAAGCCGTGGTATTTTCAATAACATCATATGCATGTGAAAGCTGGACACTGAATAAGGAAGAAAGTAGAAGAATTGATGCTTTTGAATTATGATGCTGGAGGAGAATATTGAAAGTACCATGAACTTCCAAAAGAACTAACAGATCTGTGATGGAAGAAGTGCAGCCAGAGTGCTCCAGGATGGCCAAACTTTGTCTCTCATACTTCAGACATATTATCAGGAGGGACCAGTCATTGGAGACGGATATCATGTTTGGTAAGGTGGAGGGTCAGAGAGAAAGAGGAAGACTGCCAACAAGATGGATTGGCCAAGTGGCAGCAGCAGTGGGCGGAAGCATGGCAACAATAATGAGGTTGGCCCAGAACCGGGCAGTGTTTCGTTCTGCTGTGTATAAGGTCACTATGAGTCAGCACTGACTCGTTGACACCTAACAACAGCAACAACCCAATCACTTAAGGAGCTCTGGTAGCATAGTGATTACGAATCAGGCTGCTAACCTCAGGGCCAGCAGTTTGAAACTACCAGCTGTTTTGCAGAAGAAAGATGAGGCTTTCTGCTCCTGTAAAGTTTTACAGCCTCGGAAACCCTTTACAGGGTTGCTGTGAATCAGAACTAACTCCACAGCACATAACTACCACCACCACCACCCAATCACTTGGTGGGAATTATGACGACTTTGGATAGAAAAGCCATATCCAGTAAATGTAAAGTACCACATCATCTTAAGTCTGAAGTGACCCACAAAAGAGTTGACAAATACTATAAAACTAAGTGATAAATGATGATAGTTTTAGTTTATAAACTACACCCATTAGTGACAACTATACGTACCCTTTTCAGAAGGAACTAAAAGTTCTTCCGTTAGGAGTGTAGGAGAGAGTAAAGGAAAATAGAACTTTAGTTGTTGTTGTCGTTTTCCTCTTGACTGTCCATTCCTCTCAGAGACTTAGATCATTGACAGTCTGAATATTTCGGTTCATTCATAGTCCAGGGAGAAACTATTGATGGAAACTCATTACAGTTCAGTCTTCAAGAACCACATCAGGATGGCTTGCCATTGTGATTTAGTCATTGGTTCATCATTTTGCTTTATTTCTGCTGTGAAATTGAAGGTGCCATGAGTGTGGGATAATTGTAGGGTTTGGGGTATGACTGTCTGGCTGATTCCTTTAGTGGGGACCCAGCTATAGAAAAGTAATGTTCTAATGTTACCCAGATAAACCCATGCTGAACAAGGCCACATTATAAGCCTTACAGTGAGCTTGGGTTTGGGAGCTAAGCAAGGCAGCTGGGTGATACTGATAAGCTGATTAGCTTGATGTATTACTGGCATTTCTTTTTATCCATTTGGTATTTTACAGAGTTCATCCATTCTGTCCTAAAAGAAATTATTTTCAGATGTGTCTGAAAATACAATTCCTGCTTGAATGGTGGTCTGGTGCTAATGTCCCTCTATTGGTTTATTTCAGCTGGGTCCCGAGCCTCCTATAGCAGCCAGCACGGCCACCTGGGCCCGGAGCTACGGGCTCTGCAGTCCCCCGAGCACCACATAGACCCCATCTATGAAGACCGTGTCTACCAGAAACCCCCTATGAGGAGTCTCAGCCAGAGCCAGGGGGAGTCTTTGCCGCCAGCACACACGGGCACCTACCGCACGAGCACAGGTGTGTACCCAGCACCCACTTGGAGCTGAACATCTGTTGGGAAGCTTCAGTATTGCATCTTTCTCATGGAAAGCATGGAGTGTGTAGTGTCTGCGTGCTGTGCACAAGTGTATGCAAAATGCTATATATATACGTGTGTGTATATGTATGGTGTGAGCACATGTGTATGTATGTGCACAGTGTATGTGTATGATATGTGTTTATACATGTATAGTTATATGTGTATGCTGTATATGTGTGCATGGGTGTGGTGTATATTGTGATGTGCACATGCATATGTGTGTGCATATCTATATGTGTATGGTGTATGTATACATGTGTGCAGTTATATGTGTATGCTCTATATGTGTGAGTTGTGCATATACACATATGTATACAAGGGTGTAATATGTGTTGTGATGAACACGTGGACATGTGTGTGGTGCACACCTGTGGGGTGTGTATGCACATGATGTGTGTCTACATGTGTGCAGTTATGTGTGTTATTTATATGTGTGTGGTGTGCATGTAAACATGTACTCTGGTATGGCATGTATTCTGAGGTGCATTGTGTACATGTGTGTTGTATATGTGTGGTGTACACATGTGTATGGTTTGTGCCATTACATGTATGTGATCTATGATGTGTGTGGGTACCCACATGTACATGTGTGTGGCATACACCTGCATACATGTGTGTGGTGTGTATGTGGAATGTGCACATATGTGTGCATATGTTCATGGGGTGTGTATATAGTACATGTATACACACCTGCAGTTAGGTGTGTGCTTTATATGTGTTAGGAGGGCCCAAACATGTATGCATGCATGGGTGTGGTACATGTGGTGATGTGCACAGGTGTGGTGTATGTGTGGGGTATACACATGTGTGCTTGGTGTATATGTACATGTGTGTGGCTATGTGTGAGATATACATGCACACACATATGTACATGATTGCATGATGATGTGGACTGTGTACATGTGTGTGGTGTATATGTGTGCGTGATGCTCACATGTGTGTCTATGTGCATGGTGTATATGTATGGTGTGTATATATGTGTGCAGTTATCTGTGTATGCTGTATGTGTGGGTGTGCACACATGTATACATGAGTATGGTATATATCATATGCACATGTGGACATATATGTGGTGTGTGTGCATGTCTGTATATGTGCATGGTGTTTGTATACACATGTGCAGTTGTATGTGTAAAATCTCTGGGTGAGGCGTGTGTTTACATGCATGTATGTGTGTGTGGTCTGTATTGTGATGTGCATTGCTTACACGTGTGTGGGGTATGTGTGTGGAGTGTGTGCATGTGTGCATATGTATGGTATTATGTACATGTGCAATTACCTGTTTATACTCTATATGTGTGGGGTACATGTGTACATACTTGTACATTGGTGTGGTATACATGGTGATGTACACATGCATACTTGGGTGTGGTGTATGTGTAGAATGTGCACACGTGTTTGTGTGTGCATGGTGTATCTGTATGGTGTGTACACATACCCATGCAGTTACATGTGTATGCTTTAAATATGTGAGGTGTGCATGTACACACGTGTACATGGATGTGGCTTACACGATGATGGACACATGCATACATGTGTGGTGTGGGTTTGCATTTGTGTTGTGTGTGCATATGGACATGTGTGTGAAATATATGTAAGGGGTTGTGGTGTGTGTGATGTGTATTTTTTGTCTGTGGCATGTTCATGTGTTTTGTGTGTGGCATGTGCAATATGCAATGTATATGTGTAAAGTATGGGGGGGTGTATATGGTATGTGTGGAGTATGCCTGTTTCTGTGTGTATGGTATGTGTGGAATGTCTGCTGGTGTGTGATGATTTTAATGCAGGGTGTATTAGTCTTGTGGATGGATGGTGTGTGGTATGTTTGGTGTATGATGTTTTTAGTATGATGTGAATGTGTGTTGTGTGTTTGTAGTGTTTGCTATGTGAGTGTGTGGCATGGTGTGTGTTTGGCATGGTGTGTATGTATTTATATATGTGTGTGTGTGTGGTATATATGGTATAAATGTAGCATATTGTATGTGTTGTGTGTATGCATGTATGGTGTGGTGTTTCTGTGTGTGTGGTATGCATGTGGTGTGGTGTGTGTATGCGGTGTATCTGCATGTATGTGATGTGTATATGTGTGTCTCTGTGGTAATGGTGTGTGTGGTATATATGTATGTGGTGTGGGATGTGTATATATATATATATATGTATATATGATATGAAATGTGTATATATGACATGAAATGTGTATGCATGTGTGTGTGTCCACCTTCTCTCCTCACAAGCATCATGACCTTTCATCCGCACCCCTGCACTGTCTCTAATGCTGATAATGATAATGATGATGATGATGATGATGATGATGATGATGATGATGATGGTAGAAGCAGCACCTACAGCTGAGCTCCCCGAGTCTGAAAGGAAAGGATGCAGTGGGGTAACAAGGTGATTTTTCCATGAGGGCAACATGAAGGAAACAATGCACATTCTTTAATGAATCTAAGTATTCAGAAAATGTCATCATTATCCATGACATCATAGGAATCTGTCTAATGCTGGGAATGGATTTTTAATGATATTATATGCTTATATATCAAACTGAGAATTAAAAAAAAAACTAAACATGTGCCTAAATTTGAAAGTCAGACTTACAATTTATTTCATTCACACTATTAGATTGATTCCTATGAAACTATAGTCTATGGGTCAGATATTGGCAATATGGTATGGTTCCATCAACTGTATTTCTGTTGTTGTGGTTAAGTGCCTTAGAGTCAGTTCCGACTCATAACAATCCTATATAGGTTTTCTGAGGAGTGGCTGGTGGATTAGAACACCGACTTTGCAGTGCAGTGGTTTATACCAAGGCACCACACCAAGTTGTACTGAATTAATTATGTATTATGAACTAAGCACAACCACAGGTCTCAGGGAAAAGACAAATTTCCAGAATATGTATCCATTTACAAAACAGTTGGTTAATTTTCATGATGAAATGTGCCACAGGTCATTTCGCTTAATTATAAAATCATTATCATCAAAACATTTTAAGAAATGCACTGGTTCTAAATCCCACATTGCTCTGACACAGAACCTGCTGTGTTCCAGGTTCCAGACTCAATTTCCTGCTTCTTTTGTCCCTAAGTGTGCATATTATCAGGGGCAGAGGCTAGGCTCACAGGGCAGGTTAAGCCTCCGCATCCTTAGACTTGTGTAAATTCCAGACAGTTCATTGGAATCAAGTAATGTTGTTAGACTGCACTGTGATCCTAAGTTACAACTTTGGAAATCAAGGGAAGCTAAGTTGGTTTTGTAGTTGATGGCTGGTATTTACGTTTCCATGGTTCACTGCATCCTAGGAAGAGAAGCACAGAAGATTCTGTAATGTTTAAAATGTTGTAAAAAGGTTTTTATTGTGAATTGGGTGAAGGTTTACATGTAGAGCAGATGGTCAGTGTGGCATTCAACAATCTGTAAACATTTTGTTACGTCTCATTGATGGTAATCCCTTCAATGTAATATCACTGATCCAAGTTCCTCCCTATGCTTCCTATGTCCATTCTTCCTTCTTGCCTTGGATTTTGCCCTTAAACTACTGACCATGCGGTTTAAACCAACCTTGTGGTCCAGTGCTTATCTTACAGTGTCCCACCAGAACCAGTCTATAAGGAAAAAAATGGCATTATTTTTTATTCTGCAAATGGAGTACTGGTGTGGTGCTGTTGGATAATGCATTGGACTGCAAGGTCAGTTTGAACCACAAGGTCAGTGGATCAAATCCACCAGCTGTGCCTCCAAAACACTATACAGGGTTTCTATGATGTTCAAGTCATATTCAGAAGAAGATGTGGAATGAGGAAACTCATTGCTGATGTCAAATGGACCTTGGGTGAAAGCAGAGAATACCAGAAAGACATTTACCTGAGCTTTATTGACTATACAGAGGCTTTCAATTGTGTGAATCATGACAAGCTATGGACAACATTGCGAAGTATGAGTATTCTTGGTACACAGACCAAGAGGCAGTTCAAACAGAACAAGGGAACAGAGTGTTTTAAAATTAGGAAAGGTGTGCGCTAGGGTTGTATTCTTTCACCATAGGTTTTCCATTTTTATGCTGAAGAAATAATTTGAGAAACTGGATTACATGAAGAAAAATGTG